GAGCAATTCTGGTACATAGGAAGTATCAGTCAAATTAATAGCAGATATACAATTATAGAAAAGGGGTAACATTAAGCCCATATAAGAAAAAAATCCTGAACAAAATTAAAAGTAATCATGTAAAGGTTGAGTTCAGTCAAGACAAGGGCATATGAGCCTATAATGAGCAGCCTTGCAGGTATGAAAATAAAAAAAGGTAGGGGGGATGGGAGGGAAGGAGAAGAATGGCAACTCAAGAACTGTAAAAGTGGTTAGGATAGGTCAATAGCATCTTTCCTCCTCTTCATAAGACAGACAAAAAAAAAAAGGGGGGGGGGGGGGAAATCAACTAAAAGGTAAAATTATCTGAAACAGTGCATTTAGAGAGGAAGTGGCATGTTTTTAACCCCTTGACGCCGACGTAACACAAATATGCGGCCTCACGGACCTGGGCTTTTTTCCGTGGGGCCGCATATTTGCGTACCTGTCTTTGTGCTGGGAGCGCGCCACTCGGCGCGCTCCCAGCACCAAGACCGCGCTGTCACTGAGAGCCCCGGGTCCCGTTCTAACGATCGGGACCCGGGACTCCCGATTCCGGGTCACGTGATCGCTGTGATAGCCTCTGATTGGCTATCACAGTGATCAATCACTGTGCAGCCCGGCCCCCTTGTTTTCTCTCTCTCTCTATGAATGGAGAAGAGAGATACATTGTATCTCTCAAACTCCTGACATAGAGAGAGAAAAAAAAAGTTTGTAAAAAAAAAAAAAAAAAGATAAATAAATATTAAAAAATAAAGAAAAATACCTAGATCAAGGTTTGATCTAGTTCAGTACCAGGGTTAGTGTTTGGGTCAAGGTCAGGGTCAAAGGTCAGGGTCAAGGGCAAAGGTCAGGGTCAAAGGTCAGGATTTAAAAAAAAAATTGGTATCAGTGTCAGTTAGTGTTAATGTCAATGTCAGTGACAGTGTGTTTTATGTAAAAAAAAAAAATAAAAAAAAAAAAGACAAAAACAAAATGCGCACTGTTGTTTCTGGGCTGTACTACGGGTACAAACAACAAATAACATACACATATATGGTATCGCTGCGATCGTCAAGAACTGGAGAATGTATTTTGGGTTGTTCTTTGGTGGTAGGTTATGGTCGTAACAAGAAACACACAGTTAAATATAAAAAAATGATTTTTTTTACTATTTTGGCCCAGTTTTCCTTTAATAATAAAAAAAAATTAGGAGCTATCCATGACCATTTACCACCAAATGAAAGCCCAATTTGTCCTGAAAAAAACAAGGTAAAATCCACCTGGATGTACAAAGTAGTTGTGACGATATGTACGGTTTTACTAACATGTCAACGTTGCAGAATTGTGCTTAGGCATTTAGATTTGTTTTACCCTTAGGCGCGAAGGGGTTAAGAAGGCTTACATGGATGGAGTAGTCAGCCAAAAAACGTAGCAACCAAAAACTGGATTTAGTTTGGAGAGATTTTCCTAACATCTGTCTGAGTATGTCTTGCTGTTTTATAATGTGTCCAACAATACCATGTTCTAGATAATTTAGAGAGCCTTTCCTGAGAAATACTAATAAGTTCCTCAATTTCTGCCATTTTATTTATTCTGTGGAACCACTCCCCTATCATCAGGATTTTAGTCAAGCGCCAATGGCAGAGAATGCATTGTTTGGCATCATTTATCATAAATATTGCTAAAGACTTAAGGTAGCATTGCTTAACCCCTTGACACTGACCATATGCAAATATACGGCCTCTCTGCAGCTGAGTCTTGTCCACAGCAATCAGCCTTACTCTGGCTGCTAACTCTGTAGCTAGAAATTTGGACTTATAGATTAAAAAACATAACTTTTTGATCAGTACATTTTCATGTCAGATTCAGGTTTCCTTGCCACCAAGAATTACCAAGGGAGCTGCTCATTTGGCTGATGTCGCAATTGATGTTTTAAGAGCCACAGCTAAAGGCAATGCTTTGATAATTAATTCAGCTAGTATAGCCTTGTAGTTTAAGGTTTGGACTAGACATCTAACCTTTAACTCCCAATTGTAAGCCATTCTCTTTGAAAGTGGTCTTCCTGGCCCAGGTCCTTAAACATTTTTACCTGGATCTTCTCAAATGGGAAGTAATTTCTAATAAAGAACAAAAAAGTCAATATTGTAGGGGATTTCTAAGTTCAAGCCAGTATTAGGACCCAAGGGGAAGAAAAGAGAGTGAAGAGAGATAATCCACCACTCCTTGCTTGCTCTTTAAAATCTTACAAATGTATTAAGTCTCCATAAAAGACACAATGTTCAGTCAGCAGATGTTTCAGCCTTGTGTGCATTGTTCACAACAAATGCCATGTACAAAAATGACACAATATATAGTGGATAAACCCCTCCTGGCAACATATGCTGTCAATTAGACAATTATTAAATAATTTGATTTGCCTGGAGTGGTAAGATGCAATACATAGGCAAGTGCAGAAACTCAATCAAAAAATACAGAAATAATCAGAAACATAATCAAAAACATTAAAATCCAATACGAAAATAAATGAGAATGCCCAGGGGGAGATGATCCAAATACATAGCAACAGGAAGAGAGGAAGGCAAATCAGAAAGGAAATCAACATAAGTGTAAATCCAAGTCCCATCTAAGGTTTAAGAGGGATTGTGGTCTTTAACTTGAATATCCATCATGCCATCTTATCACCAAGCCTGGGCATGGGAGTCTGTCTCTCAATGTCAGTGATCCTAAAGGAGGACAAATCACCAGAGTGATATTCTTTTGAAGTGGCGTGAAACATTAGAGATATGCTTTACATTTGGATTAGTAGAGTCACAATAGTGTTCTCCTATTCTGGTTCCTAAAGCACGTGTGGCACATTCAAGACATACTGTACATACTGTAAATGACAAAAATGCAATAAATTAGATACCCCACATACTTGGTTCCACAATTAATATATTGCTTGATATTAAAACTTTCACCAGTAGCTGATGAATTAAAATATTTAGTACATAAATTAACATGACAATATCTGCATGTTTTTAAATTATGATGGGAGCATCCCACGTATGACAGCCAGATGGGTTGGTATTTTCTAGGTAAAATTAAACTAGGTGACAACAAAAAGCCTAAAGTTGGAGCTCTTCTGCTGGAGAAATGACACCCTGGCTCTAAAACTTTACGAAGACTTTTATTAGAGTAAAGGATGGGAATGTTTTTCATTATTAAATTGACAACCTGATGATATAACCAAATGAATATTCTTTCTGTTCCTGTACGCAAGTTCTAATTTCTATTTTTATTTGATACATTGGCTGAAACATTAGAAAGAGTATGTTCTCTTAACCCTTGCAAAAAGTGGACCTTTAAAAGAAAGAAAGCTAAGTCAAGGATTTTATTCAATCCTACTGAAGCCCTCAAAAACTGTAAGGGATGACCAATTGGGTATTATGGATGGATTAACCTTCTTTTTATCCAGCTGGGAAAAAAAATCAGAGTTAATTTGTATTAAAAGTCATTAGAGAACGTTATCATCTAGACTTTTCTGGTCCTATTCACGGCCATTTTTATGTTACCAACCCTCCAAAACGACCAAGTGAAAGCTTCATATGTGAAGGTTATTTTAAATATATCAATGAAACAGGTGACTTCTCCAGTCCCCCAACTCACACCAGTCCTGGTGGATTTTATTCTCATATATTCCCAGCAGGAAAACTTCCAGTTAAGTTCTGCTTGATTATGAATATATCTTTAAAAAAATCTAAAAAAGACTAGAAAGCATGTATTTTTAGTTGTATAGCTTCTCTGGATTACCAAGATGCTTATATGCATATACCTATTTACTCTGAACACCATACATCTATAAGGTTCACCATGAGCTCTCCAATGGGTCTCCAGCCTTGGCTTTTTTGGGGTTTCCTATTTGGACTCTTACTGGTATGCCAAATTTTACTGTATATGAATGTCATAATAGAGGTCATGTCTTTTCTAAACATTCAAAAGATAGTTCCCATACCTAAAATAATTTTATGTATTCCAATATATTTATTGAAGTTAATTCCAAAACAAATACAGTTGTTACTAGGCATTTGAAAATACAGTGGAATGCAGAGAAACAACAACAGGGTGCCAGGATTAGTGTAGGATTAAAAACAGCACTTTTATTATAAAGCACAATTACATCTAAGAATCTTTCATCCAGCACCAGTGGCAGCGAGAGGGGATGGTAAGGACAAGAGCAAAAGTCCAGACAGATGGATCGGCAGCTGCTGAGCTTAGGTGAAATATATTGGAAGCATGTTATGTTAGGTCTCACAAGACAATGGTCCAGACCATCCATAAAGCATGCCAAATAAACTATATAGAAACCAATGTAAAACAGTAGGCCAATCCCCACTGACATGCAGTCATCAGTCTTTATTGACAAAGACAAGATCAAAGTCTAAGGAAAGAAAGAGGAGGAAAGAAAGATACAGGTGCTCCTCCCAAGCCTGAACAATCTATTGAGTTATAATGAATTCTTGGGTCCCAGGTTTTCTTAAATTTATTTTGAGTATTTTGAAGAGTGCATGTGAATTTGTATTCAAACATCACCCAGGTCAATCTGTGTTTGACATATTCTAACAGTATAGTTGTTTTTCTACCACTTTGCTATGATTATCCTAGCCAACAACAAGATGTTGAAAATAATATTCTAGTGTGTCTCGAAAGACCAATCTGTTGGAATACTGTAGATTATACTTCTGAACCTCTCTAGAGATATGGGGACCTTGATCTGAGTCCCTGAATAGATCATAATCTTCAATGTTTTGACCTTATGGCACTACCACCATATGTGGTACATGGCTCACACTTGACCACACTCACTATAACACAACAGGGAGTCCTACAGTGTCCATTTAGCAATTCTGATCTAATATACACTATATTGCCAAAAGTATTGGGACATCCCTCCAAATAATTGGATTCAGGAGTTCCAATCACTTCCATGGCCACAGATGTATAAAATCAAGCACCTAGGCATGAAGACTGCTTCTACAAACATTTGTGAAAGAATGGGTCACTCCCAGGAGCTCAGTGAATTGTACTGTGGTACTGTGATAGGTTGCCACCTGTGCAATACATCCATCAGTGAAATTTCCTTGGTACTAAATATTCCACTGTCAAATGTTACTGGCATTATAGCAAAGTGAAAGCAACGGGGAACAACAGAAACTCAGCCACGAAGTAGGTAGGCCACGTAAAATGACAGAGCTGGGTCAGTGCAGGTTGAAGCGCACAGTGCACAGAAGTTGCCAACTGTCTGCAGAGTCAATAGCTAAAGACCTTCAAACTTCATGTGGCCTTCAGGTTAGCACAACAACAGTGCATAAAAAAATCTGAAGAATATATTTTAAAAATATATATTTTAAAAATATATTCTTCAGATTTTTTTTTACATATGAAAAAGTAATTTTAACATATATTTTTTACATATATTTGTAAATGCATTCCAAAAATGTAGATTTGTATTTTTAAAGACATACAGTATATTTGAAACGTATTTTTAAAAATATTTTTCATATATTTGGTAATAAAAACGCATTTCAATATTTAGTGTGTGTGTGTGTGTGTATATATACAGTGAGGATCGAAAGTTTGGGCACCCCAGCTAAAAATTTGTATTAATGTGCATAAAGAAGCCAAGGAAAGATGGAAAAATCTCCAAAAGGCATCAAATTACAGATTAGACATTTTTATAATATGTCAACAAAAGTTAGATTTTATTTCCATCATTTACACTTTCAAAATAACAGAAAACAAAAAAATGGCGCCTGCAAAGGTTTGGGCACCCTGCAGAGTTAATATCTTGTACTGCCCCCTTTGGCAAGTATCACAGCTTGTAAACACTTTTTGTAGCCAGCCAAGAGTCTTTCAATTCTTGTTTGAGGTGTCTTTGCCCATTCTTCCTTACAAAAGTCTTCCAGTTCTTTGAGATTTCTGGGCTGTCTGTCACGCACTGCTCTTTTAAGGTCTATCCATAGATTTTCAATTATGTTGAGGTCAGGAGATTGTGAAGGCCATGGCAAAACCTTCAGTTTACGCCTCTTGATGTAATCCCCCGTGGATTTCGAGGTGTGTTTAGGATCATTATCCATTTGTAGAAGCCATCTTCTCTTTAACTTCAGCTTTTTCACAGATGGCATTAAGTTACCATCCAAAATTTGCTGAAATTTTATTGAATCCATTTTTCCTTCTACTCGTGAGATGTTCCCTGTGCCACTGGCTGCAAAGCATGATTGATCCAACCCCATGCTTAACAGTTGGACAGAGGTTCTTTTCATTAAATTCTGTGCCCCTTCTTCTCCAAACGTACCTTTGCTCATTCCGGCCAAAAAGTTCAATTTTAACCTCATCGGTCTACAGAACTTGTTTCCAAAATGCATCAGGCTTGTCTATATGTTCATTTGCAAAGTTCAAACAATGATTTTTGTGGTGAGGACGTAGAAGAGGTTTTCTTCTGATGACTCTTCCATGAAGACCATATTTTTACAAGTATCTCTTTATATAGTGGAATAGTGTACCACAACTCCAGTGTCTGCCAGATCTTTCTGGAGGGATCGTGCAGTCAAACATGGGTTTTGAATTGTTTTTCTCACAATCCTGCGAGCTGTTCTGTCTGATATTTTTCTTAGTCTTCCAGATGTTGCTTTAACTTCCACTGTTCCTGATGACTGCCATTTCTTAATTACATTCCGAACAGAGGATATTGACATCTGAAAACGCTTGGCTATCTTCTTATAGCCTTCTCCAGCTTTGTGAGCGTCAACTATTTTCAGTTTCAGTTTTCTATACAACTGCTTAGAAGAACCCATGGTGCTGATTGTTGGGGCAAGGTCAGATGAGTCTGGGCATTTAAAACCTTTGAGATTGACATCACCTGGTCTTCCCAGACGATGATTGAGAACAATCCATGACACTGGCAGGTCTCAGCTTGGCAGTGCATGCTATAAATTCTGCAGGGTGCCCAAACTTTTGCAGATGCCATTTTTTTGTTTTCTGTTATTTTGAAAGTGTAAATGATGGAAATAAAATCTAACTTTTGTTGACATATTATAAGAATGTCTAATCTGTAATTTGATGCCTTTTGGAGATTTTTCCATCTTTCCTTGGCTTCTTTATGCACATTTATACAAATTTTTAGCTGGGTGCCCAAACTTTCAATCCCCACTGTATATATATATATATATATATATATATATATATATATATATATGCAATACATTGAATATTGCCAAAATTGTAGCATTTCAAATATATGTCAATATATTTGGGAAGAATATTTTTTAAATTTTTTTCTTCCATATGGGTTAAATATATGCAGCCTGCTCTTCACTATCTTTTTAGACCTGCATACAGCTTCAAATAAAGTAAGAGAAACTGGAGTGGCAGATCTTTAGATCAATAAACAAAGATATTTGCAAATATTGAAAGATTTATAAAGAGGGTAGTCTATGCTCTTTTTAAAGGCAATCTATTGTTGCCATCTTGTTCACCTCCATGAAAATTGCCTATGCAAAGAAAACCTTTTTTGGTCCTTAAAATAAAAGTGGTAAGCTGAGACCTGGAGGAAACTTACCTATAATAGGAGCTATTGATGTATGGAAGGAATGCAACACCCCTGTCTATGCAAGAATGAGGCCAGATCCAGAAGCAAAAACTGAATGACCTTCATTTTAGTTATTAGATGTACAAGATAGTGAACAAAAAACATTTCCATAACTTCATACCAAAGATTGGTTTAAAGAGGGTTCATTAGTCCAAAAGATTTTTTTAATGGAATACACTATTGGTGACATTTAGATTTCATGACCTGATAAATGGTTGTCAAATGGGTCGTGAAAAACTTTCAGAAACCTTTTTTGGTTGGAGAAACTGCTATTGAAGTGGTAACTACAGTTGTGGCCAAAATTATTCAACCCCCAATGCTGTAAAGGGGTTTAGGGACTATAGTGTACCTTTGGAATTGTATTCAGAATCAAATCCTACATTGTAACTACCCAAATGCAACTAAAATGACATCAATTGTTTATGTAATACAGTAGAAATGGTTTTTTATGTGGTTTCTTCATACAATTATTAACCCCTTAAAGACTAACTCTGAAGAACAGAGGTTCATACAGCTGAGACCATCAGGTATTGAAAACACCTTGCCGAGCAGCAATCAAGCATAATAAGCACCAATTAGGCAAAAATGACTGTGATACTCAGCTCCTTCTAGACATTTACTGGTGTGGTTAAAACATGGTGAAGGCAAGAGAATGGTCAAGACAAGAGAAGAGGTGATTTCTCTTCACAGGAAGGGCAATCTAAGAAGATTGCAAAGATGTTAAACATACCAAGAGACACCTTAGGAAGCATCATTCGCAAATTCAAGGCAAAGGGCACTGTTGAAACCTACCTGGTCGTGGCAGAAAGAAGATGCTGACTTCGACTGCTGTGCGCTACCTGAAGCGTAGAGTGGAGAGAAGTCCCCGTGTGACTGCTGAGGAACTGAGAAAAGATTTGTCAGATGTGGGTACAGAAGTTTCAGCCCAGACAATAAGACGCACACTGCGTAATGAAGGCCTCCGTGCCAGAACTCCCAGGCGTACCCCCTTGCTGTCTCCAAAGAATAAGAAGAGTCGACTGCAGTATGCCAAAAGCCATGTGGACAAACCACAAAAGATTGTGGGATAGTGTTCTGTGGACTGATGAAACAAAATTAGAACTGTTTGGGCCCATGGATCAACGCTATGTTTGGAGGAGGAAGAACAAGGCCTATGATTTGCCTACTGTGAAGCATGGTGGAGGGTCAATTCATGCTTTGGGGCTGTTTTGGGGTACAGGGAAGCTTCAGCGTGTGCAAGGTACCATGAATTCTCTTCAGTACCATATTGGATTCACGTTATGCAGTCCGTCACACACTGAGGCTTGGGAGACGTTGGACCTTTCAACAGGACAATGATCCCAAGCATACACCAAGTCCACTAGAGCATGGTAGCAGAGGAAAGGCTGGAACATTTTGGAGTGGCCATCGCAGTCACCAGACTTAAATCCGATTGAGAACCTCTGGTGGGACTTAAAGAAAGCAGTTGCAGTGCGCAAGCCTAAGAATTGATGAACTTTGCCCATGAAGAATGGGCGAAGATACCCGTCAAGACCTGTGTCAAGCTAACGTTTAAAAGCTGTTATAAACTGTTGCTGTACTAAGTACTAAGATGGTCACTTGGGGGTTGAATAAAACTGATAATAGCCCTGTGAGCACATTTGTGGTTATTTCATTATAACTGTTATGTTATATTTGTCTGACCTACAAGTGCCTTTTAATGTAAATTAAGCAAGATGACTGGATCAAAAGAATGTCTGCCAAAAACACTCATTTCAGTGGGGGTTGAAGTGGCCACAACTGTAGATGGTATTATATCCCTGCTCATTTACACGTTATGTTCCCCTCCGTTCCTGCTTCAAAGACTTAGCCCTGACCCTGGTGCATATTTTTTGGCTCTGTGATAAGGTAACTCCTACTTGGCAAAAGATTGTTCATATATCATCATCTGTTACAGATCAGCCTGTACAACTAATAGATGCGAATTGTCTTTAGTTTTCCCCAATTCCTAATATATATGAAGAGATTGATATATACCTTTTTAGTATTGCTACTTTTGTGTTCAGTTTCACTCAATTGGAAATCAGCTAACACTCCTTTTTTTTCTCAAATCCTGGATCATATTCACTATTATGTTAAAGGAATGTAATTTTCTATACGTGATTCTCTTCCTCATTTCTGCACCAAGTGGGATATTTGGAAGTCTAGACACTCCTTATTTTGGGGTATTTAGTTACTTGATTTTCAAATTATGTATACTGTTGTTTTTTTTTGTTTTTTTTGATGATCTATCAGCCCTGTTTTTACAAACACACATGGCACTGTACACTGATCAGTGGTCTGGATGTTTCTTTTCCCTGAAAGCAGGTAGAAAAAAACATCCAGATGAAATTACACAATTATATGATGCAGTTTTTTTTATGTAAGGCTAAAAAAATAAGCAAAATAGTTTAAAGCACATGTTTCAAACACAAGGACTGCAGGCCAAATCCAGCCAACCAGGCCATTCATGTGGCCCTTGCACCTCTCCTGCAGCTGCGACACCCCCTCATATACACCCCACCTTTTCTTGGCAGTTGGCAGCAGAGAGGAGGACATCATTTCTCTGCCTTCCTTGGTCTCAACATTCAGCAGACACCTGCAGCTGACTCCAGTCCTCCTGTGGTCCTCTTCCAGACCCTGAACATTCTGCTTCCCAGCTCTGCTCCTAGCTTCTTCCTAGTAGCAACACAAGGTAAGGGGGTGC